AAAAAATGGTGTTAGAGAAGCAATACGTGGGCAATACATGGCAATACATTGGCAATACATGGCAATATATGGGTAATACACAGGCCAATATCTTGGCAATATATTGGCAATACATGGGCAATATATTGGCAATACATGGGCAATATATTGGCAATACATGGGCAATATCTTGGCAATACACGGGCAATATCTTGGCAATATACATGGGCAATACATGGGCAATATACATGGGCAATACATGGGCAATACATGGGCAATATACATGGGCAATACATTGGCCTATATACATGGGCAATAATACATTGGGCAATACATGGTTTGAAACTGATAAAGTACAATGAAACCAGAGCATGTTTATTAACAAACTATACTGTAAAAAACATCTCCAAAGCAGTTGAATTTGCAGCATCTACTGTTGCAACCATTCCTCGTTTTTCAGAACCATTGCCGCTCAAGGAATTCATAGCTTCTTTACGGGCTTTCAAAACCAAAAGAAAACCTACAAAATAGAAATGGAAAGTACATAAAGTTCCAAGAGATCAATTACTATCAACTATGATGTGTATATTCTATCGAGGGCACAACCAACTAAACTTTTATGTTAGAGTTTGGATTATATGAAAATGAACCAAGCTTGACAACACGTTAGTGTAATGCCCATATATCAACTTTGTATTAAAAACATGTTCACCATTCACCCATCTCTGTTCTGTGTCATCGACATAACCCGACCATTTTTGAAGTGATGAAATATAGTAGCATTACTTACAGTAATTTCTTGGTTTTTGATCAGAGAAATGTACTTCATAGAAACATGACCATGAATGCAAACAATTAAATTCTTCAACACCCTTACTAGTGCACTCTCAATGAAACCGATACAGAACTGGTGAACTTGTATGGTGTATAAAGTGAGCTACAAAACCTATTTCAAAATTCAAAACATAATGAACTACATAAAAAAACTGTCCTTTTACTCTCATATTGCAAATTATTTGCTCGTGAAATTTTTTCCAAAAACTTATTTCCTTTCCTTTCAAACAAACAGGATTAGAAGCCAAACCCCTAAAAATCAAAATTGAAGCAAAAACTGACATAACTAACCTATTTCTATGCTAGAGAAAATCAAGATTTGATTTTTATTTTTTGTGTTATTTTGAGCAAAATAATTCCTGGGTATTGAAGAATGGGAAAAATAGCTTAGAACTCAAAATTACAAAAACAAAGTGACAAAGGATCAGAAGAGAGCACCTGGTGGCAATGGGTATGGCGGGTTGTTGTTGTTGATGCGTCCTTTTCTATTCCTTCTGTTACTCCTTTATGTAGGCTTTTGGAGGGTGGGCATGGTCTCCCCCCTGAATGAAGGTGCTGGTCCCAGATGGCCAATGAAGTTCGATCCCTGATCCCTGATCCCTGATATGTAAAAGACAGTTTCTACACATCCCAGATTTCATGCAACTATAGCCACACACTCAGCCTAAATGACCCAACACATAGCCTACTTGATAGCCTTAACCACAGTAAGGGGTTTTAGCAAGCAAAAAAAAAAACAATTCTCACAAATTCCAGATTTTCAATTATATTAAAATACAAAAATAAACACAAGACTAATGTTTAAGGCTGATAGAATCTTCCAATTGAATTGAATTATCTGATATTCTAGTGCTAAAACATTCACAGGCTGATCTGATGCCACAAAAATAAGAAAAGGCTCTGACTTTGTAGTCATCTACAAGATATATGCTTATTTATGGGTTTATGCTGCAGAGACTAAGTTGGAGGCTTCTCAAAAGGTTACAGATTTTCAAGTATGCTTGCATACCAAAACAAAACCAACACAATCAAACTACATCAAGGCAGCCAACTCAAAATTTCCAAAAACCAAACAAACACATCTATATAACAAAATCATAGCACTTTTAAAATTTGGAACCCACAACAAACAATACTCACAAACATATATAACAAAATCAATCACAACAAGACCTATTTGCATCCATATCCGGTTTGATAAGGCAAATGCAACAATTTCGAATTCAAAATTCATACACTTCATATAAAGAATTTCAGTACAAAACATATCCGAAAGCATATTAAGAATCACTATATCAATATTCAACAGAAACCCACATGATACAAACTGAAAAATACAAAAGACTAGCATACCTCAACCATTAGAGAAAACCACAGTTTCACATCTCAGAACACTAGCATACCTCAACCATTAGCAACACTAAACAAAACCCACCAAAAACTCCAACACCTCGTTAGTCAGAAAGAGAAAATTCACTCCCTTTCGCAAAGCCCAAAACACTATAAACGAAAATCATATTTTGTCAAACACTCAAAATTCTATATCAGCACCACTCAAATTCCCATATAGAAACACCACAATTAAGGAATTAAAGCAAACACTCCATAAGCATGTATATGTATATATATATATATATAGAGAGAGAGAGAGAGAGAGAGAGAGATAGAGAGAGATAGAGAGAGATAGAGTAGAGAAAATTGGAGCCCATGAATGCCCCACCAGTGGAGTCTCCGACAAACTTGAGAAGGCAGACAGCAGGGCCATTGGAGGAGGCGGGGACTAACGGGTTTGAAGAATTAGGGTTAGGGTTAAGGTTTGGATTGGTATCGAGCTCAGTGTTAGTGTCCGGGTCAGACTTCGGAGAATCCACCGACGTCGTCGCCATGGCCATTACTCTCTTTGTTTTCTATGAAGTCATGGCTGAGCAAGATTTGGGCGAGTGCGAGAGAGGAGAAGAGTTGGGAGAAATTGGGTTTCAGAAAATGAATTTTTGAGGGGATAAAGGGTCAATATAGATATATTTATATGGAGGGCAATTGGGTACTTTCATGTTACAAAGTGAATATTTTTTATTGAAATTTATAATGTGATTATTGTTATAAATAGTGGAAGTGGAGCCCATAATCAATTATGAAGTTTGAAAATGAGGCAAAAATTTCACTGTACACTCACGGATGAAAGTGATGGTTTGAAATTGAGGCAGAAACTTTACACTGTACACTCACGAGAAAACTTCAGAAGCGCCTATAAATAGGCCTGTTCGTTCGTTTGTAATATATACCATCAGAAGCGAAGAAAGAAAAGGAGAGTGAGATTTGAATACTATTGAGTGAGTTTCTATTTGAGAGGAAATTCAATCTGTGCAAACGCCACAAGAAAAAATATAATTCCACTATCATTTTTCAGTGGTAATTCTCTCCTCTAATTATTTTATTTCATAACACGTTATCAGCACGATAGTCTCTCCACTGTTAAATTTTCTCAGCTCAACACTATGTGGTTATTTCTCTTTCTCCTC